CATTTTGGAGGCTACCAGGATGGCTGGCATTTTTTCTCCTTCTGCTTTGTCAAGGCGTCTCTGTCACAACAGCAGCAAGCAAGGAAGAGGATGAAGATAGGTTTTACAATCTGGCAGGATAGCTTCTCCCCCCCTCCCACCCACCCACCCCACCCCCCCAAAAAACAAGCAGTGGAGAAGGAAAGAGAAGGGGAAATCTCTCCTTCAAATGTGCAACTTCTTCTCAGGAGCTGTCTCAGCCTTTCCACCTGTTTCCTTGGGTTGGTGTAGCTTCTCCCTCAATTCTCAGTCACTGTCCTTTTTTCCCTTCCTCCTCTTCTTCCGGGGATGTTTAACTCGCTGGTTCTTTTCAGCAGCCACTTTATTAATATTATTATTAATAAAAATAATAACAATACTATTTTTTCCTCCCTTCTTTCCTTGGAGATGGGAGACTTTAACTCGATTCTCTGGTCACTGGAACCACCCCCTGAATGTCTTGCTTTAAAGGAACCTGCTGCAACATATGTTTCGGGTGGCTTGGCTGGGTGTGCGCGCCCGCCCCAGCCTAGCAGAGAGGATCGCCAGACTTAATATGCCTGTCTGTCTTCAGCCTTAGCCCAGAGACAGACGTAGCTCAGTTCTCCTAGCAGAGGAGGACGGCCTTGGATACCAGCCTGAGAGGATCCGAGTTTCTTAAGCTTTAGTATCGGTGCACGAGAGCAACGGCGCCGGAGCAGAGAGACAGAGAGAGACCTGCCCGCGGATGACATTTAAATCGGTAAGGCTGCTGGAGGCAACGGCATTTCCCGAGTCGGCGATGCTGCTGTTCCCGCTGCTGCTGCTGCTGTTGCGCGTCAAAAAACCCAGACGGAGAATGCGGTGGCTTGTCAAAACGTCCGTCTCATTATTATTTTTTTGACTCTGGCGCTGGAGCCGGGCTCGAGAGCCGAGCGGCAACCCAAGGCGTGCGTTGGGTGCGAAAAAGCGCAAAGGGGCGCATGAGCCGAGGCAGCCGGCGGCGTGGACGATGCCAAAGAAGGGGCAGCCCAGATGAGAAGGAGCGGGAGAAGGCTGCGATCTGACAGTACCGTGCAAAAAGCCTGCGTGGCTTCCGATTGGTCCTCCCCGCTCAAATCAGAAACAAAACAGCTCTGCAAAAGGGGCGGCGCTTCAACTCCAGCGATGGGCACGAAACTCCTCCCCCCCGCGCTCTCTTTTGCCTCCCGATCTGCGCTGTGTCTTCTGCGACAGTGCAGCGGGTCCTTCGCCGCGGCGTAAAAAGGAGGTGCGGGGGGCTACCCAAGCTGGGCTCCGGGCGGAGGGTGGCAGCGGCAGTAGTCGCCGCCGTGAAGCGGAAATTCCTCCCATCGATCCTGTCTTTTGTTGGTTGCTCGAAAGGAAGGCACTTTCGAATCAAAACACATGAGGGTGAATCATGGTTCCGTCCTCACTGGCTAGTCATACGGGAAAACTCCCACTGAAAAATGCCAACGGCCCATCCTGTGAGTAAGGGCTGAGCAATTTAACCCAATCAGGTCGGAGATGAAAAAGAGCCCGGTTCTCTCTATCTAAAGTTGGTGTTTCTAATAGAGAGAAAGGCTGTTTTGGTTATTCAATATGGCCACAGCTAAAGTGTTATTTTCTCTTAGACTTAGAATAACTTTATTGTCACTTTGAATGTACACTAATCGGCATACATTAAAATGAAATTTCGTTGCATTCAGCTCTCAAAAGGTTCACCACCTCCAATATAGGAATAGCACTTAGACTTATATACCACTACACAGTGCTTTACAGCCCTCTCTAAGCAGTTTACAGAGTCAGCCTATTGCCCCCAACAATCTG